CGGTGCCACCCCCCTCCCAGCTCCCGTCCCGCTCGGGCCTCGGCGCTGGGGCTTTCACGCTTGCAGTTCGCCTGCAGAGGGGACAGGGACTTCAACCCTCCACTGCCACAGACTTGTGGTGCTGGAGCACCCACCTTGGTCCAGAGCCCGGAGGGCATCGGGATGCTTAATTCTTGTCCTAGCACCTCTGAGGAGGCAGCAAATCATCTTCCCATGCTTGAGATCATGTCTCCAACTGTAGGTAGAGGTGCTGTATAGCAGTCTATAGGCTGTCCCCTATACATCACACAGACCTGGGTGCAGGCACCTGGCAGAGGGGCACAGGGCTGAGCAGCCCTCCTTGCTCATCGCTGTCAATGCCCTCCCTCAAAACATGAGTCAAATCGAGCAGACAAGAAACTGTGGGATTACAAGCAAACAAAACAGGTGTAACAGAAACGGAATCAAAGATGTAGGATCAGTATTCCTTAAACAAAATCCCCAGCATACAAGATGCGGAGCTCCTGGAAAAGCAAATCCTGCAAAATGGTCGCAGAGGGGGAGCAGGGCAGAAGCAAGACTTTAAATCCTGTCTCTGAGATCCCAGACAGGGCTTAAAGCACAGGGCAGCTACGTTCGCTGCGAACGTCATAAAGAGGCTGCGGGAGAGCATCCATGATGCAACCTCTATTTGTTTGCCCGCAGTACTTCCTTCTTGGTTGTCTTTGGGAAATGGAAGAAGAAGCCACACCAGACACCGCGGCTCAGGATAAACCAGTGAGTGTATTCACAAAATGCCTTAAATTACTCCCTTGGGACGCATCACACGCATGCACATGCTTTGCTTGGGACAAGGCCAGACTTGTTTGATGCCGCTCAGCACAGTGGTCCTCCGGCCCCGTCTCCTACAAGGTGCTACCATGGCAGTGAGGAGCTTGGGGAGAGGTATGCAACAAGCAGAGCGATGCTTCAAAGCCAGAGAATCCTCCTGAGCTCCAGGTCTCTCTGGAAAGACCTCTCTGCTACTTTCTGTCCATCCTGGTGGGATATGGATGTATTATTTCAACATGTCCGTAGGAAAACAGGAGAAAGTTCATTGCCTTCTTTCTTCAAAACATGCCTGGATGCCTTTCTGTAAGGTAGGCACAGTCCTTTCGGTGCCCATCGGAATGTCATGAGGTTCAACAAGGTCAAGTACACCTGGGTTGGGGCAACCCCAGTATCAGCACAGGCTGGGGATGGAGAGCAGCCCCATGGAGAAGTACTTGGGACGAAAACCTGGATATGAGGCGGCAATGTGCACTTGCAGCCCAGAAGCCAACCATCTCCTGGGCTACATCCAAAGCCACATGGCCAGCAGGGCGAGGGAGGGGGTTCTGCCCCTCTGCCCCGCTCTGGGGAGACCCCCCTGCAGGGCTGCGTCCAGCTCTGGAGCCCTCGGCACAGGAGAGACACGGACCTGCTGGAGCGGGGCCGGAGGAGGCCCCAGCAACGCTCCGAGGGCTGGAACAGCTCTGCTGGGAGGACAGGCTGGGAGAGCTGGGGGGGCTCAGTCTGGAGCAGAGAAGGCTCCGGGGAGACCTTCCTGCAGCTGCCAGGAGCGAGATGGGGACGGGCTTTTTAGCAGGGCCTGTTGTGATAAGACAAAGAACAATGGTTTTAAACTAAAAGAGGGCAGATTTAGGCTAGGTATGAGGAAGAAATTTTTCCCAGTAAGGGTGGTGAAACCCTGGCCCAGGTTGCCCAGAGAGGTGGTAGATGCCCCATCCCTGGAAACATCCCAGGTCAGGTTGGTCGGGGCTCTGAGCAACCCGCTCAAGTTGAAGGTGTCCCTGCTCATGGCAGGGGTGATGACTAGATGATCTTTGAAGGTCCTTTCCAATCCAAACCATTCTGTGATTCTATAGTGCAACCATTGGGTGATCCCTTCAGGAGGCAGCACACCAGGAGGCATTAGCATCTCTCCAGCCAAGGACCAGGATTTTCTGCTTACTGAAATGACCGCTTTATCCATCGTACCCATTCTAGGCACGAGCAGGAGAAGGCAGCGCACTTCTCATCCACACTGCCCCACCAGGAAGGGATCTGTCTTGCTGATACATCCCCACGGCTGTCTCAGACGTGGAGCTTGAGCCTTGAGGCATCACCCCTTGAAGAGGTGAAGTCATAAGCATTTGTGCAGCGTTGTTCTCTTCCCCTGGGCAAAGCAGGCAGGACTTTTCAGCGAGCCTGCCAAGGATGCCTTAGTGAGCCTCTCGCTTCCAGACTTGTGAAGGATTAAACGCCCTCGTTAGCAGCCGTAGTACAAGAAGAGCTTAAGGATGCCCTAAAAGGCCACGGTCGCTAAAAGGGGATGGAGAAGGACTTGCAGACGCTGCGAGAGTTGGGCGCTGCTGGGAAAGGCAAACCATGAATTGCCATCACTCTCACTTCAGGAAAAATCCCCTTCTGACCCCAAATCAGAAGACCGAGGTGAGCAGAGCCACCTGCACACATCTTTCCACGCAGCCTCACTCAGCACCGACGCTCCAGCACGGGCAGCTCCATCACCCAACAGCTCCAAAGCTTGCAGAGATCTCTTCTGATGACACCGATTTGGGAGCGTTTGGAAATAAAAGGGCTACTTGTTTCCTGCCAGAGTTGTAAGTAATCAGTTGTCAAAGCGTACTTGGTGGTTGAGATACACCATGGTGCGTGGTTTCATGTGGTAGTACGAGTGCCAGCAATAAAAGGCATAAGATTCTCACCAGTTTGGATAAAAAGTAGTTTTCTGCTGCTCATCTTCAAAATAACCCTTAATCAACATTGTGTTAGGAAAGCTTTAAATTTTGCAATATCATTGCAAATACCATCCCAGAATAATCCTCCAAGTCACAGGACTTGGAAAATATTAATTACTTGATTAATATTAATGGTAATATTAATATTAGCAATATCAATATCATTAGGAAGACAGTATTCCCCCCATTTTTCATTTCTGTGTTCTCAGAAATAGGGATGAACAATGGCAGAGATAGCACAAAACAACACCTAAGCCACGCCAGATCCAAGGAAATTATGCAGAATATTTCTACAACACCTTAACCGCTAGTTTAAATGGGTTCCCTCGGACCTGCACCCCTTTTATTTCCTCTCTGCAAACATCTACCAACAGTGCCTAGCACAGAGCATCTGCCTTTTCCTCTGTACCATCAGCAGGATGGTGCAGGTTTGGCACACCAAGCAGCGCAAAGCGGACTGCCGTGGAGTTTACAAAGCTGAAACACCCATCAGAGCAATGATGAAAACACACCGAGGAAGCGTGTTTCTATAGGTAGCCACCAGACCTCCGCTTCACTCGCTCCTATACTGCTAAAGCGATGAGTAATTGCAAATATTCTGGTAGCGATGCCAGTTCTCAGAACTAAGAGATGGAAAAATGTGCCTAAGTGCTATTATATTACAAGAAATGGATCTGTGCTACTGCTTCCCAGCAGAATTAAGGAGAATAATTATTATTCACATCATTTGCAGAATGGGTCCGGATTGAATAGGGTAAGTCACAGTCAATAAAGACAATTCATAAGCAAAAAAAGAAGGAAATTTCTTGAATGGCTTCTTAGATCTTGGTCATCCAACTCTAAGGGACAGTAATGTTGATATTT